TCAGGCCTGCTAGCAGGTAGTATCTCCAGTGGACAGCCTCAATCTTCCTGGGACTCTGCTGTCTTCGGGATGACCTAGCCACACCTTCTTATGTCTCATTCTAGCACATGCCTGCCTCTCCACCATAGACTCCCCTGGACAGAATGGTGCAAGGGTTCCAGTGGACGAACTCCGCACTGATAGATCCTCACACTCAGAGCACACAGTGGGCCCATGGCCCATCATCAGGGTGTACACTCTATGGGTCAGATGAGGGTACAACGGCATGCCCCAGCACTAGAGTATATAGGGTGGTCTCCCTGCTCTAAACCTGGGAGCACTCACTTTCTTCTCATAGTCTGAGGTGTGAGGGAGAGGGGAGGAAGCAGTGACTGCCAGCTGTCAGGAAGTTTTGCAAGGTCGCCTTTCACTTAATCCTACAGCCCCTCAAGGAAGAGAGGCTGCAAACAGGGGCCTGTGAAGAGCCACTAGGGAGCCTGCCAAAGTGATCTGGGAGGCCCTTGGGGAGAACTCATAATCAAGCCCATGCCAAGTGGGTGAGTTCTCACATGTATCAGATACAGGCTGGGAATTCAAGGTAACCCCAAAAAGGAATCCTTAGTCCTTGATTTCCCTCTGGCTTCATAGCATCGATTCTGGCCATGATGTGGTCTGCTCACTTTTTAAAAGATCTACTATATGCACGGCTATGACAGGGTCACAGAGATTCCTGTCACTTGCAGAGACCTGGGGTTGAATGGGAAAATCTGATAGTGCAGAAGCACTGTGGAAACTCAGGAAGGGAGAAACTGCTGGAGGTGGCAGGAAAGACTGGCGAAGCTGTAGACAGCATTTGAAGCTGGCCGTAAGCCCAGCAGATAAAAAGGAGAAACCCTAGTATACTAGAAAGAGAGGCCACAGCCACAGGGCCAGACCCAAGGAGCCAAGGATGAAAACCACAGATAGATCCGTGAACATGGGCAGTGCAGACCAGGCAGGAGAGTCACAGGGAGGCAGTGTGGAGTGCTCAGCTCCTGGAGGATGAGGCCTGCTTCATGTACACTGATGGTAGCTATTTGATTAGGCCCAACTGCTTGACCTTACAAGCTGCCTCATGAACACCAGCAGGGACAGCAGCCTGGAGAGATGAACCAGAGTTCCTGAGGAGCCTCGGGATGGTTGAGGGGAGATGCAGAACAAAGCTCAAGGCACAGTGATACAGACCTGCAATCTGACCAAAAGCAGCAGAAACATCAGCCAGGAGGACATCTCTGTGAGAATGAGAGGACTCAAAACCCACCAAGGCACGCGGGAGACCAGAAGGCCTTGGTGGGAGGCCTTGAAAATGGAGCTGAGCGGAGATGGAGGAACAAGCTGTCTTGAGGGAAGGCCTGGCCTGGGAGCCTCCTGGAGGGAAAAACAAGACAGGCCACGCACCAGCAGGGGGGATGGGGACCACCCTAGACTGCTCACCTACCTCATTTCTGCGGATCTGAAGGCTGGAGTTTCACAGCATGACGTTGTCCCATGCAGGTTCTAGGGTGTGTCCCTGGAGAGCGGATGTATCTCCTGGTCCTTCCACCAAGCCCCTCAGCAGGTCTGCTAGTGACAGAGACCTAGGAGGGGGGCTAGCTCCAGCCTTCACGGTCTTCCCGGGGGGGCTCCGTAGATAAGCATAAGCAAAGTACACCTCTCACATGTTTAGTGGGGGAAGCATGTGTATTTGTGCTCAACCATCACACTTAGGTGAGTACAAAGTCCTAATGGTATCTCCCAGCTTATGGTCCAACTGGAATATTCACATGAATGCCGTAACACATGGCCTAATCAAGGGATCTCCAGGAGGTCCTGCGAAGATTATTTAGGATAGGCCATTCTGAAGGACCAACTGATAGGATCTGGATGTAGGCAGACCCACATTCTGCCTCAAAGTAGTCTGCAGCCCGGAGTTTGGTGCTTATTAAACATTTTTATAACACATCACTGCTTTTGAGCTTCTAAGTTCTTCTCTCAAAAGAAAACAAATTTCTCCCTAGCTTTTCCCCTCCAACTGGCTCCATGTGGGTTTTGAGTCTGTTTATCATATTCAGCATTTCCTAAATACAGCATAATTTTAATGCAAGACGTTTAGTCATCCTTTTCATTAGGAAATGGTACTAATTGGCTCATTAATAATTGATCACCAGAAAATCACATGCTGGGACACCCAACGTGACCTCCTCAGTTCCACATGCCAGCACAACAGGCTCCAAATTGCAGGGGCTGCAGAAGCTTCGAGATAAACAGGGTGGCGGGTGGAAAGGAAGCTCTTGCTCAAATCTAAGTGCAGCCGCTGCTTGCTGATCCAAGGGCTGAGATCACTCAGAGATTATGCCGAAACTCTTCTCTGGTGCCGATTCTTTTCAGAAAACAGGTCTCAGCCTGTTCTCGCCATTCCATGAGCAGTGAGGAGACACGGGCACAGCCTATATGCGAAGACAAATGCTCCTGTGGGTTTCTGCTTCCAAGTGTCCTCCTTACACACTGCAAGAAATCCCTTTTTTCTCACAGGCTCACAAACAGCTTTTAAGAAGTTAACTTACCCAGTTTCCTGCCAACTGCTTTATCACATTAGAAAGGAGAGTCCTCTGGGAATTTCCAGTGTGCAGGGCACACCAGTAACGACAAAAGCACCTCTGTGAAATTCTGCAGTTTGCCAGCTGCTTCCCAATATATCGCCTCCCCCCTCCATAAAAAAAGGAACACTCTTCGTAAGAGCACTGGCAACAGGTATGTTTGCCAAGGCAGAGCGATGCCAGAGCGAGAGGCGCAACCTGGGATGACGGGCCAGGGCACGGGACAGCGTGGGTCTGCGGGCAGCACAATCTTAGTCACAGAAGTTGGGAAAGGCGGTTCCGTAAAGAGGATAGTAATCATGGTTATCTCACAGGGCTATCTGAGGGCTAAATGAACTTGATTTATTTAAAGCACTTGGAATGGCTCCAGGTACCATAGACTCTGTATAATAATAATTATTAAAATTAATGGAAAAGGAGAACTTTATAACAAGACCTTTGAAGAATCTCTTCACTAGACAGATCATTTCTTGGGAAACTACACTTCCTCTTACAACTTAGTCTACCAAGGAAAACACTGAAGAATATATAATTACGTGTATTTTTTTCCTGAGAAAATTCAAAGCAAAATAACAGGATTCATAAACTAATATGTATTCTTTACAACCATCAGTCTATGAGATTCCATTCTCAGTAGGTTTATCTCACTATGCTGCCACTTAGATCCTCAAAACCTGAGAGGCCTGAAAGGTATGGGGAAAATGAAAAGTGAGGGTTTCAAAAGAAAATACTCCACGTGTCCTTCAACACAAATGGTCCTACTGTGCTCTTGGACCATGTGCCTCCTTCTCAGGCCACCCACTGTGGTAGGGCACTTGCCTAGCAAGTATGAGGCCAGGGGTTCAATTCCTAGCACTGCTAAATAAATGAACAGATGAATATGAGTAAGTAATATTTTGGAGCTCCTTTTCTAGCCCATTAAAAGAAAACATCCACACTCAACATTCCCTCTAAATGTCCCACTCACTATGCCACCTGGATGTGGCTGCTGTGGTCTCTCTGTAGTCTTCCTCCAACTCTACGTGGACTCTACCCACCTCCGAAATGCTCCTGGCTCTGCTCTCCTTCCTTCAAGGAAGTTACATTTAACACAACAAAAGCAACCCACTCAGGTACTGGTAAGAGATAGCACCCTCTGCTTTTCACATATTCCAGTGCTTCTGGGGCTCTGATTTCTCATGCAAGATGGGACAAGCAGAGATGACTTGGGCATGTACCCTCTGAAAAAAATGGATTTCAAAACCTTTGGGGTTTTATTAGCTTGGAAGCCTAAACTCTGAGGGACACAGTAAAACTCTGATAAGACCCCACGCTCTTGCATCCATAGGAACTGGGGGGGGAGGCATGTGGAGGGGAGGGGTGCGGGCAGGCTTCTTATGTAACATACAACCTTGGAAATTAAAATCAATGGCAAAAAGTCATGCATGTGGGTGAGTTTTAGTTTCTGTTACTAGCAGTGATCTACAAATCAAATGGAGAACAATGGCTGTGCCTCCCGGCCACAGTCCACAGCCAATCCAACATCTCTATGGGGCAGGCCAACAACACAAGACCTCGACAGGACAGGGAAGCGCAGTCTAAAACCAAGCATTGAAAAGAAGAGCAAGGAGGGGATCAAGTAAATAAGGATAAAGGAACGGTAGTTAAAGCAGGCTAAGTAGGGCCAGGGCTGTACCTCGGTGCTCTGGCCGGTATCTTCTCTTCTGAGCCCCCACCCACATAGGGAGAGGAATGTAGGAGGCAGGCATGTGGTAGGAGGTGGTGGTGTGGATGAGGCAACACATCTGGTTAGAGGAGGGCTGAACAGTGTCTCTGAGTACTCATACACTATATGTATGTCTTTAAAGGTCCAACTTGACCTAGACACTGCCTTCTGGTGACCTTGTGGCCTCTGCTTCTCAACTCCTTGCAGGACCTCCATTTCATATACAAGGCACAGCCCACTCTGGGTGGCTTGTCTCCAAGGACTCCAAGACAACAGTCCGACTGTGCTCTCAGTGCAAGAACTATTTGGGCCTCAAATGGGAGCCGATGACCGATCGTCCCTACAACCAGCCTGGTCATGGGGAGTCTTGGCACATATGGCTGCCACTGCTTGTTGGGAGAGGAGCAGCTGCCCCACCAAAACTGAGGCCAACACAACAAAAGCCCTCTCATTCGGGAATGCAGTCATATAATTCCTACTTGGCAGAAATGTATGGCTGGCTGTAGAACAAAAGGAACTATCTGAATCCAAACTATTGCCTCTTAATCCCTTAATTAGACTAAGTCCTTCAGAAGGAAGCACAAGTCATTGTTACTGAAGGAAACCAGAGCAAATACAGACCACTTCTACACACTGCCGTGTGCACACATACAAGGCCGCAGGTGTCCATAGGAATGTGAATAAACACTCAGGTGATGGACTCGGAGTTTGAAAGAAATTTATTTGTTTGAGAGCCATGATCTGGAACATTAAGATCAGTTCTCCTGGAAGGTGATCTGGGTAAGATGGGGTGGTGAGCGGGCGAGACCTGGCGGTTCACGGGCATGTTAAAAGACGAGCCCATCTGCGTGGGGCTCCCTCTGCTCTGACTCTGGGCCAGAGAGTTTGCCCGGCAGCGCCTGATAGCAGAGGGGTCGGAAGGCCCCCGCTGGCAAGAATTCATCTGGAAACGTGCTTCTTTTTCTTCTTCTTTCTTCCTGGCGTGTCATCTAGCACAGCATCTACTGCCACTTCCAGTGGCTTTGGCAGCTTTTTCTTTGCTCTCTTCTTTTTGGGTTTTGGGATGTCATCCTGGTCATCAGAGAGTTGCACACAATCTCCGGCAGCCTCGGCGGAAGCATCGCAACACTCATTCCCACAGGGGCCTCCAGGCTGCCACTCACCTTGGTCTTTCCTCTTGGATACAGGTCCCTGGCTCTCCTCCTCACGCTTTTTCTTTTTAGACCGCTTGGCTTTCAGCTGGGGGTCATTCTCTGCGTCTATACCTGCTGTCTCTTTGGTGGTTTTCTTTCTCTTTTTCTGTTCCACTGGAGTCTCTGAAAAGTCGGGCCCTGGAGCTGCAGTCTGCAACTTGTTCTTTAGCTGGGACATCCGCTTGGCAAAATACTCCTGGATGGTGAAGGCACTGGTTGTGGTGGTGGAGGACTCATGCCCATCTGGAGTGGAGGTGCTGCACTCCTCCTAGGGGGATCAGAGTTACAAAGAGGTTAAGCATCTCTCAGTTGTTCTGCATGGAGGTCAAGAGGACCCCACAAAGAGCCCCTCAAATTTAGCAGTTAGGAGAGAAGACTGATCTGGGTTGCTCCTGGCTGGGCCTGAACTGCCAAGTGCAGAGCAAGGTGGCCACTTCTTCTGGTTGAGTGCCACACTAGGCAGGAGGCTGAACTGACAGAAGGTAACGTAGATAGCTAGCTAGCAAGCTGTCTAGTGGGGCTTTGAGTAAACAGAGCCTTAGGAACAATGCTGTAAATGGCAGTTAGTTCTAGACTCTCCCAGAAAAACTAGGGACACTGAGGTTCTGGAGTTGTATGATTTTGTAAGAAACAGATTGTGGCTCCACTATGGAATCCATTGGTGTCGCATGTTGATCCAGAAGCTCAGATGTTATAAGAGGCCAGACAATTCCAAACTGGAGCCTCGTTGTGTGGAGGACAGGGGACAGACAACTCTCTATTGCTGGGCAGTGTGTAAACACTGGCAGTTGTTCCTGGAGAGAACATGGGAGCATTCAAACTTCAGTGGCCTCTCTCCTTCCTCAAAGGGCAGGCTTACCTGGGGAGCTCCTTTCGTTGGCTGGGGGTGAGGAGAAGCAAGGGGACCCATCTCTGCTCTAACATGGACTAGATACTCATGGCTAGTCGTTCTTAGAGTTGTGGGATTGAATACATTTTACTTTTGAATATTGAGCTGTAACGTTGGGGAAGGGAGAGGGAAGAAATACCTAACTCCAGAGGTGGTTAAATCATGAAATGCTGGTATTCTCATATGGACTGTCACCTGCTAGGTATACAGTAAGAAAATGAATGCGTGAAAGGGAAGTACCTTGAAGTTGAAAAACAAGAGAAATATGCTTTAAGTAAAATCAGTTCCTGCAGATTGCTGTCTTTGGGTAACAATGCCATTCTCGAGGGCTCATTCTGGCCTCACCTCTTCCCTCACACTCATTCACACTCACACAAAGAGGCTAGCTGCTACCTTGCATTTTGGTGGATAGAAGGGGGAGGGTCGAAACAAAGAAAGCAATTTTCAGACCAGAATTCTACATTCAATTCTGAACGAAGCTAGCAATGATCCATGTGTGTAGCTGACTAATAAACCAACACACATAAACATAGTCTATTATTCCTGCCACGATCTAGGTCAGGGGACCGAATTCCAGCAGAACTGATATTCTATTGAGTAACAGGTTAGCCCTAGGTAGCCACTGCTCAACAGAGCTCTCACCAAAGGGTCTCTTTACTAGATTGGGCACGGTGGCTTATGCCTGCAATCCCAGCTACACAGGAGTCAGAATTATGAGAGTATGGGCCAAAGCTAGGCCTAGGTAAAAATGTACAAGACTCAATCTAAAAAGTAACCAGAGCAAAAAGGACTGAGGATATGGCTCAAAATTCTAGCAAATATGAAGCCTGAGTTCAAATGCTAGTACAGCCAAGAGAAAAACAGGTTGGGCTGCTTCTGTTAACATCAGTGGTCAACACTGTCCTTTGTTATCAGCCCTAGGTCGAAAATAACCAAAAGCATGAAGTCAGTTTTCAAGTTTCAAAAACAGAATACAGCATATGTGGGATCCATCAATCAATCTTTGGGAAGTTTAAATGATTAGGATTCAATTTAAGGAATCTCTTCAGGTGGTTAAGAAAACTTTACAAAACCAAAACCAAACCACAGCTGCCACAGGAAACAAATCTGATTGCTTTGCTTTGTCGTTTTGTTCCTCAAATGGCAAATGAGGGCTGCAATTTTGCAGAGCAGAATGGAATACGTTCTCAAGGCTCCTGGTGCTAGCCAATCCTAGGACAAGAAAGCCCTGGCCCTCAGGAAGGGTATACACCACAGTCACCTCAGGACCTTGGAGAGTGGTCTACTATAAACAGGTCCATCATGGCTGCCTGCCCTTTGTGGACCAAACTTCTGGAGTGGGCTTGTGAGTTAGGAGCTCATGGTGTAGTCAAATCCTCTGCTCTTCACCTTGTTCTTTGTTGATTACCTCCTGAATTCCTGCTCTGAACAGTTTCACTACAGGAATTGATGGCTAGTGTCAATACTACTTAATTGTTAAAACCAATGCAAGACCATTTCTGAGTGCTGAATTTGCTAGGTCTTTGTAACCTCAGACCATTTGTTCCTGGTCAACTTCCACAGTAGTATAAGGAATAACAGGCCGGGGCCCTGAACATGGCTCAGGAGGATTGAGCACAGGTGATGACAGCACTCAGCCTCTGCCTGAGCAGGGGATTCATGCGGAGGGCAGCCACGAAGGAGGAGTGTGTGGAGAGTCTGATTCCCACGGGGACTCTGCTCAGGTCTCGTAGACCTTGTTCTTGAGATCAGAAACCAGTATCACAATGTTACAACCTCTGTCCTCTATTCTTGGCCACAGCACGCCATGAAGAAAGTGTACATCTATTTAAGAAAATGATTTCTTTCCATATCTGGTCTACACTGCAAAGTGAACAAGATTGAAAAAAACAACACGAGATACTTTTTTAAAATTTTGAAATAAAAACAATTTTTGGCTGGGAAGGTGGCTCAGTGGTAGAGCGCTTGCCTTGAATGCCAGAGGCCCTGGGTTTGATTCCTCAGCACCATATAAGCAAAAAAAGAAAAAAGCCAGAAATGGCGCTGTGGCTCAAGTGGTAGAGCGCTAGCCTTGAGCTGAAGGACAGTGTCCAGGCTGAGTTCAGGCCCCACGACCGATAAAAAAAACAAACAAACAATTTTTGCCTTCTCACATTTATATTAAACAATGTCACCTCAAAGAAAATCTGTGACTTTTATGACTTTGTGAACTTTGAGACTGTCCCTATTTGCTGCTGGTAGTCTCAAAACCAGTAAAATGAGTTCCTCAACAAGTTGAAAACTCAATGGTTCCACAAATACTACCAAGAAAGCTATGGCTAATCTTGCCATATCATCTTGCCAGACATCTCACTTAAGCTTTAGGGGTTCAGAAAGCATCTTGTAAATACCAACTTCTGCTGTTAACTAATGGAAATCCTTTAGTAAGTCCCACAGCCTCTTTGGATCTTAGTTACATAATCTAGTAAAACAGTAGGCTAAATGAGGTGACTTGCAGGGCTAATGTATACTGACCTCTGGAAAGACAAGTGGGCCAGCCCCAGAGGCTGCTCAGCAGTGCAGAAGGCACAAGGCCAAGGAAGGCTGGTATGGTTTTAGTATAAGCAGGCTGCAGGGCAGAAGCTGCTTTACAGAAAACTCTCACCCTAACCGCCAGGCTAACGTAGAAAAGTGTCAATAATACTGCCCCATCTATGCATCAAATAAATGTATTGACCATCTAAAAGAAAACAGTGAGCCAAGATCACACTTGTATTGCTAGTAAGGATAGCAAGCCACATTCTATAAATTACTGAATAACATGAAAGAGTTGATTTGAATTGATACTATGTAGGCACTAACATCAACAGAAATAGAAAACTAAGTGACTATTACAAATATATGAGTCTCTTTTAAACCTAAGTCCTGAAAGTCACCCTCTCACTTGCCCTCTTGAGAACCATGGTGAGAAGCTGGAACTCTCAATCCCACGGTGTACTCCTGAAGGGTCTCTTTTTGTATACGATGGCCAGACAAACTCTAATGATGCTTCACTACCCTAGATCTTCATCAAAGGGTATGTCATGGGGAAAATGCTAGTGATGCTAGGCCAGAGTTGAAACGGTGGAATTCTGGGGATGAATGAATCACTACCTGAATCTCAGTCCAAGATTTCTAAAGTTTTATGCTAGTGCCAAGAGTTTAACACCCACCTGGTGAAGGCAAAAGCATGGAGAACTACAGACTCTTTCTTGGGCACAGAGAAGAGCAGAAGTAGAAGAGTCCATATGGGATCCTTAAGAAGCACATCTAATGGAAGGAGCTTTTCAAAGCAAAGTTTTGGTGAGGAGGGAACATTTTCAAATGACATTTTAAAAGTCACTTGCCCTCAGTTTGCAAAATACACACTGATATACCTTCTCTCTCATTAGTTTATGATAAAGACACAAGTACAGACAGAGCATCTTCGCAAATTTTCTATGTATTGTAGAAACAACTATGGGTTCACTTTGTGTGGTCACAGGAACTCCTCCAGTTGGTTATTCAGAGCCAATGCGGGCATACCAGATGGAATGACTTTCCACAGTGATATCTAGGGCCCTGACTTGTCAATCAATAATGTCCTATGGGTTAGAACTGACAAGTGGGAACCTGATCCTCCCCACTTCAGAGCCTTGACAATTTAAAGCCAGAAGAGCTTGGCAGAATTGTTATGCTCAATCATGCTAGGAAATTCCAGTGACCAAAACTGAGTATCACTGTGCCAGGCACTAACTGCATGGCATCCTGAGTGGCTCCCAGCAACCCAGAGGTGTTCTCTCCACCACACAGGGCACAGGGTGGGACCAGGGACACTTGGCTTATGGAGGTTCCACAGCTAGGAGACAGCAGGAGCGAGATTTTGCCTCCCAGCTACTGGGTGCAAGCTCTCATTCCTGCACAATAGTAGACTTGATTCTCACCCTCTCTCTTCAGACATGAACACTAAGGTATTTCTCAATTGATTGTATAATTCAGGGACAAAGTTCCCTGCTCAACATCTAGGAGAACATAAGACAGGTTTCATGTAGCACAGAATGTCCACAGGAAAAATAAACTTTTTTTTTTTTTCCTCAAGGCTAGCACTCTACCAGTTGAGCCACATTTCCACTTCTGGCTTTTTGGCGGTTAATTGTAGATAAGAGTTTCTGGAACTTTCTTGCTTTAGGTGGCTTTGAACTGCGACTCTCAGAGCACTAATGGTAAGATTACAGGTATGAGCCACTGGCACACAGCAATACTACTTTTTAAAGGGGGGGAACCCTTTATTATTCCAATCTGCAATTCACATAAATAAACTGAAGTCATGCTTAAGAGTCCTATCATTTGTCAAACTAGCACATAAATGTGTATGACAAAGT